TTCACCTGCCCTCTGCAGTGGGGCCAGGGGCAGGGAGGCTCAGGAACAAGAATTAAAGAAGACAGCTTTGAGTTCCAATGAATATGGTTAGCTTCACAGAAAAAATGATTCCTAGTTATGGGCTACACTCTCAACTTCTACGGGCCACCTCTCAACCACAAACATGGGAGTTGGACCTAGATTTGAGACACATAGTTGGGAACAATAATAATCATATCTACATTTTACAGGATTTGGTATGGTCAGATAGGGTAATATGTGGAAGTGTTTTGATAATTATAGAATATTGAAATAGTATTCACGTATTTAAAAATGTGGAGGAATAGGTTTATTGGTGTGGATACTGACGACAGATCAAGGCAGAGCCTCATGTACCTATGCAAATACCCTGAGTAGATCTACTCAAGTTTGAAGGACTATTTTGAATTATTCAGTAATAAACAAGGTGACAATGAGAAAGATTATGGCCATATTAAAAAGCAATATTGCTTTTAAAGAATCTCAACAGTTTACCAGTTGCTCTAACATTTATTTTGATCCTTGTAACCAGTCTCTCAGATTGATGGTACAAATTATAATATTTTCACTTCACCCGGGACAGAAATAAGCCGTAGAGCCTCCAAGTCCTACAATAAGTGATGGCAATGGGTTGTCAATATGATTGGAATACTTTGCTTTTCAATCTTGCCATATTCAGCAGGATAGAACAATGAAACTATGGGAAAGAATATGTTCAGGCCTTGAGAATTTTGCTTTGTGACTTTGGAATACAGATAGGGACTTGATCAATACACCTGCTCCTCACTTATCAACAGGCTAGGTTCCAAAGACCAAGTCATTATGTGAAAATCTGTGTCATGTGAAAATGGAGGATGACCACATCAGATCACAAAATAGAGGATGACTACACCATTACATAACTGCCAAACCACTGAGAATTATGACCCAGCCAAGTTGGCACATAACCTTAACCATCACAGCCAGCGTTACTCTCATCTTGCACCTCGGCATTCATTTCTGCGAGACGTATGTCATTAATGAGCAAAATAGTCGGATTTTTTTACTGTTGTTGTAAATATGAAACGTCAGATAACAAGTCAGTAAGTGAAGAGCAGGTGTAGTTCATTTTTAGCTCAAACCAGGGTTAAATTTCCTAAACAATACTCCAAACTTGGTCAGACCTTTGCACTCTAAAATCAATGATGTGCCCTCAAAGGGGAGCTCTGAGCTGGTTCACACATATTCCCCAGTGAAGCATCAGGAGTCTTCAGATTGGAAATTCGTGGGCTCATGCTGGTCTGCAAATCTGACTGCAGATCATAGAATTTCTGTAGAAATTTCTCTAGAAATTCTTTTGGCCTTGAACATACAGTAGCTACATGTTGCTGATGATTTTGATTGTGAGAGAATACCTAAATCTCAAGTCCTCTGGCCAGTCTCACTGAGATTTTACAGGGCTCAAGAGACCTACTGGTGCTCAGAGAGAAAACACCACAGCAAATGGCCTTCTAAAGAAGATACTGCACATATACAGTGTTTTTGCAGTGTGACTTCAAGCTGTCTAGTGATCTAGCTGCTCCCGAACATGATTTCTCTCTCTCAAAAAATCTATAGTCTTGATTCATGGTGACCCTAGAGATCAGGGTTTCAAAAATTTGTGATAATCTGACCATCATTGAAACCCTGCTGATTTACTGCCAATGAGTTGCCTCTGTTGAATCCTGGCTACAAATATGCTTACCTCTTGATTAGTAGAAAGGAGAGGTGCTTAAATACAAGTTGCTACAAGGTTCACTTGAGGAAGAGGTATAATCTTCTGCCAAGTTTCCCAATCCATCAATCACTCTGTTGGCTTTGAATAGCTGGCTTCCGTGGCTCATGGAGATAGTACTAAAATGTAGCGATGCTTTATTCTCAGATTCTGTCACTTAATCCACAGCCTGAGAACATTAATTTCTCTTTACATTGGCTAAATGTAGAACCATTTTAATTCTGTGAAAATCTACTATAACACAGGAACCTGATTTGCAACTGAATCAATTCCTTAAACGGAACTGTGATGTGGCTTCTAATAATATCCCAGGATGAAAATTACAACCAATGGGGGATGTTTAATTCATAGACTATTTTATATAGATTCTATGAAGGTTATGGGAACTATAGCCCCCATCGTGAAACATACTTGGGACAAGACATGAGGAGATATGGGGAAAGGTGTGTCCTAAGCCTAAGAAATAAGCTGTTTTAAAATAAAATATCAACACATTAAGATTTTCAAAATATCATGCTAACTAAAGGTATCCTACTAGCCTAAATCCTATTTTCTCTTTTACTCCTTAGAGACGTTCCTTTATTAAGAAACAAGCCATGTCCACTTGAGTGCAAACCACTTATCAACTGCACAAAGTTTTAGTATTCTAATTCTTAGTTTCACTTTTGTTTTGTTAGGTACCAGAGTAGCTGTTCAGACATTTTGGAAACTGAATCTTGGCTCAGAGGACTCCAAATATTGCTTTGAATAGCACACTGACACCAGTGCTTGATTAACTTCTAACAGGATCATGGCAGCTTAGAAGTCAAGTATCTTAGTTTGGGAGTTTTGTTTTCTGCTAAAATACAACAGATTTTAAAATTCAGAATATCTTTTCAATACTGTTCTGCTAGTTTGATTCTGTAACTGGTTTCATTTGTAGTAGTAACAAGTCTGCCAGTGTTAAGGCTGTTTATGGTTAGGAAATTATCAATTTTACTTATATAGGAGCTTTTTCTATCCAGATAATATGGCAAAAAATTATTCTGTGTATGATTCTGAAAGACTGTAGCTCTAGGTATCACATAATTCTCATCTGATCTCTAATTCAGTAAATTTTTAATTGAAAGACTGTTGCATAAAAAGTGAGTCTCTAATGACTAAAGTGACAAAATACCACTAGTTCAAAGTGGGATAGGGACAACAGAGCAGAACACTGTGCCACTCTATTCCAGCAGCACTGGTGTATGTGAACCCTGGAGCTCAAAGGAGAGCATATATATTTACCTGATGACAGAGAAATTACTCACAATAAATACAGGTATTCAGTATAACTGATGGTTACCAAGGACCAGGGAGGGTTTGGCTTCCATTTTAGAAGGTAAAAAAATGGGATGAGGTCTTTGGGGTTGGTGTTCTTTTGCAACCTCAGTTGCCAAGATGGAAATTCACAACCCACTGGTCTATTCATCACTCCTTAGTAACCATCTTGGTTTCCTTTTATTACTAGTTATTGTTCTTTCTCTCCTCTGGAAGATCATGTTTATTCCAGCCAGGCAATTCATTTACTGAGTTAATTTTGGGTCTTTTCTAAGAAAAAAAAATACGTAAATTACTATCAGGTTCTAAGTAAGACTATTATGTTGTTGTTGTTAGTTGCTGTTGAGTTGACCCGACTCAGGGCAACCTCATGATTACTGTAGACTTCTTAAATATTTGGAACTCTCTGCCCTGTTCTTTCTAGAGGCTACTCTTCCATAATCCAAATTTGCAGGTTCTTCTAAGTAATCAGACTACAGAGTTAACTAAAGGTTGTACAATACTGGTTCACAGGATCTGGAATGAAGGTGGACTTACATTGTTGTTGTTGTTGGGTGCCATCAAGTTGATTCTGACTCAGAGAGACCCAATGCGACAGAGTAGAACTGTCTCAAAGGGTTTTCCTGGCTGTAATCTTTACAGAAGGAGATCACCAGGTCTTTCTCCTGCAGAGCTGCTGGGTGGGTTCAAACTGCCAACCTTTAGGTTAGCAGCCGAGTGCTTAACCCTTGCACCACCCGGGCTCCTTGGACTTACACTGCTGAACTTCAACCAATATAAAAGTGTAACACCCCTTACAATGACTCCTGTGTCTATAGACACAGGATATGGTTTTGAGCTAAGGTGTACAACCACTGTATTTTGCACTAGATAATGGAAATTATCAACTTTAAGCTACACAAAATTAGTGCTCTACTAATGTAAGAAATCACACATAGTATAATCTGGGAACAGACAAGGGTGTTGGTTGAACCACACAATAAACATAATTAATGTCACTAAACTATATATGTGAAGACTGTTGAAATGCCAAATATTTTGTTACATATATACTTACCACAATAAAAATATTTAAAAAAGAAATTATACACAGCAAAATACGAAAAACTTTCAGATTTGCCTCAACAAAAACTGATGTGTCAATAAATGAAGATTTTATAACACACAAAAACCAAACCAAACCCACTGCCATCTAGTCGATTCAGACTCATAGCGACCCTCTAAGGACAGAGTAGAACAGCCCCATAGGGTTTTCATGGCTGTAAATCTCTACAGAAGCAGACTGCTACATTTTTCTCCCACGGAGTGGCTGGTGGGTTCGAACTGCCAACCTTCTGGTTAGCAGCTAAGCATTTTAACCGCTGCACCACCAGGGCTCCTATTAAAAACAAACGCACACAAATAAATCTTCTTCAAAGACAATCAAATCTTCTACTTACTTACTCAAAGTTCAGGACCTACCACTTAAATGTGTGAATGTTTTTATACATAAAACACTGTAAGTGATAATTTTTACTAATATCCATGCGATATTTTAGAGACCATGAGAGGATACTTCAGAGAAATAAAATCAAAGGCTATTTGGAAAGGCAATGTCACTTTCTTCTCAGTTTCCTCTGTGCTATTGTATGGGCTAAAGTCATTTTAGAATAAAGGAGGCACAATTCTGCTTACATACTACAACTGATGGGGATGTTCTAACTAAAGAGGACAGAAGATAAAGTTCAAAGAATTGTATCTGTACTTCAGAAGTTTCAAATGCCATGCTCAACTAAAAGAAGCAAAACTAACCTTTAACTTAACCTATCTACCAGTTACTACTGAAATCACTTTTTAATTTTCTTTTATTAGCAGTACTTATGCTACTGGAAGACCATTAAGAAGCAAAAAAAAAAAAAAAGTCAAATATTATCAATTGTTCAAAACAACGAAGAGTTTAAAGAATATATTTGTAACCACATAAACAAAAAGGTATTACGTAAGAAAAATTAATGTAACAATTTATGTAAGTACCTAACATATGAGCATGCTCTTACATCTAAAACAAAAAATAAAAAGGTAACATTGGTACTATATATATATATATATATATTTGACAAGTGTGCATTAAAGAATTCTCTAATATAAAACATTTAAAACGTGGAGAATACTTTTTTACGATACAGAAAATAATTGTTAAGACAGGCACACCCACAATTCATATAAAAACATGCTTGCCAAGATAAAATTCATCTGAGCACTCATTTGTCAGATGTGCAAAAGCTACAAAATTGTTAATCACTGGAAACTGCCTCATTTTTGCATTGCTTGAGTTCCAACACTGATTGGTATGAATTCTGAATTACATAATTATTGATATTTTTCAGTCTTTCTGCCATGGTTCCATATAGAATGCATCTACTTAACATGAATACTTAAAACAGCAACGTTTTTTGTAAAAAAAAGAAATCACTTCCTTATTTTTTTCTTTTTAAAAAAGGCACTATATTTAGAAAAATTTATTACAACAAATAGTGCTTTGAAAGATCCGAAACTCCAAATCAATGTGCTCCATCAACCATAAGCAGATCTAAGAAACCCTTACTGAAAAGAACACAAATATAAAAGCTGATAAATTTAAAGATTATAAAATTGGTTTATTGTAAAAGCAATTCAAGAATACCCAGTTAAAGTCTTATCCCAATGCGACCCAATACAACCAGTTAAACACTTTTACATTAGAAACAAGGACATAGAATAAGAAAGACCACATCAAGGCGGTGATTCAAACTCAAAAAGAGAAAGGACTCTTGGGTCTCCTTCAGGTCATATGATTGGATCAAAGCTCTGTCAGGTACCACAGTGCTGCTACAACATTGAGGTATAACTGGGCAAATTAAAGTTGAGGGGAAATAAAGAGCTGCATATTCTTGTTTTGTGGGTGTACTTAAGTGACTGCAATTTAGGAACAACTGCCTTTAAAGACAGCGAGATGCAAGACAAATCTTTATTGAAGAGAAAGAAGCTTATACTCTATCAAGGTCTCACTAAGTCTTCACAACCCCCCTACCTCCCACCCTCCCCCAAATCTAAAGCTACTCTGCTGATATATAAAATTCAATCTTAATCTGTGGCTTAGTAGCAAATTGTGGGCACTCCTTCCAAGTAGCTTTGATCTTCTGCACATGAAAACAACAACAACATGCTGTACCATCCATATACTCAATTATGCATTCTAAGTAGAATTCATTATTGCTCTAAAAATCAATGCTTCTGCACAGTGGCCACTTGCCCTTCAGACTTAATTCAAGATTTAATCTCTCTGATGTTTTCTTAATAAAAGTCTTAAGAGTCAATTATTATGAATGTCAACCTATAAATCATTATATACACAGTGATTGCATTTCTTGAGCACTGAAAGTATTTAATATAAAACTCCTTAATCTCAACTTTTGCACTCCTCTAAATCAAAGGGCCAAAATACTTAGATTTTTTTTAATTAGAAAAAAATGTATCTTCCCAAGCAGAGGCTTTTCATAGCAGCTTTGGCCAGGAAAGAGATTTTATGTCTGTCATAAACCCTTTAAAATAAGGGATTATACTAGAAACAATGAAAGACCCTTAATCATAGAGGTGTTAGCTGGTGCCACTATAACTCACAACCATTACTTTATAGCTTATACTGAAGAGTTGATTCATGCTCATTTTGTTCCTTTAAAAATACTCTTTGGAAACCATTATTACTCCTGTAGACACATACTCTAGTTATATCTCTTCCTGTAAAAATAAAGGTATAATCAAGATTATCGATATTTCTTTGCTAAATTCAACTACCAATATACATTTATTAATCTGATCACTTTACCACTAATTCATGACCTTACAGTATTCTATACACTGCCCAGGGTCAATTCTCAGCATATAGAAGTAGGAGCAAGACTTACAACAAAGAACAATCTTGTAGGCGATTTTTCAATCTAGCTTTAATGTGTTCATTACAAATGAGAACTACGGCACTAGACTTCACTTCCAAAGCTAAGTGAAGATAAACTTCCAAAGCTAAAGGAAGCTAACCCACTATATGGAGCTTACTTCTGTCATGTGATTTCCCATCAAGACTTAAAATTAGTCCAAGGGAGTAACAAAGGGAAAATAAAGCCATTTTTTTGTTTGCTCCTTTCAAATTCATCAGATAATATTTACTGTATGCCCAGAGGGTATGTGGTACTTCTCTAGGCACTATCCGTAATAGTAGCTTTTTCTAGAACACTAAACTACCTCAAACACCTGCAGACTGCCCCAATCAGAACTCAACTATCTGTAAAATATAAACTACTAGTCATGGATTCTAAATGCATACATTCAAAGCTACCATTTTAAAATATACTGAAAAGTAGGAAAACCTAAAAAAAAAAAAAAAAAAAGATATACTCTGCTATCACACTATCATAAACATTGTAAGTGTGTGTGGGTATATATAGAGAGAGCAGATAATCAAGATTTAAATAAGATGGTAAAAAATGAGAAAATGTAGATTTCACCAAAGAATTCTAATAACCTTACCACACTACAATTATAAACAGATTCACTAATAAAGTAATTTGCCTAGGTTCTGACAAAACCAATCAACTGAAGAAAAAAAAAAAAAAAAACAAAAACAAACCCCAAAAAACAAAAACACAAGACCTATACTAGAGTATGTGGCAATAATTAATATATTTCTATGGAAAATGTCTCATGCCTTATAAGCTCCTAAAATAAAATCAAGGTCACTATGTGACTAATGATAGCACTAGGAGAAAAAAAAAAAAAAAACACTGAAAGTAAAACAGTCTTCAGCCTTGGTGTCAGCTATCTTTTCAAATCAGCATTAAGTACTTAATATCAGATACAACATTTTTGGCTTGTCAGACCAGTAAGTCATGTTTTTCCACTGGCCAAAGGTAGCTGAAGAAACAACTGTTTGAACAAACTAAATCCTGTGACATGAAGCATTTGACTTCCAAGTCTGAGTATTTAGTTAAAATGATCGTTGAACATCTAACTGGGCAAAAGGAATGGCATCCATCATCCAAACAGGCTCACTTTCCCCAGCCCCCAAAACGAACAGTAGTTATAATAGCAAAAGAAACAAAAAAGTTTTTTTTGATTCTTTAGAGCCAACTGTGAAAGAGGTCAGCAAAATATTAACAGCAGCAATGGACAAGGAAGAGCAAAATAGTGGATGAGAGAATCTTGCTGGACGTTTGTTCATCTTTTTCTGTATGAGCCAGAAGATTGCAACTGCCTTATTTGGAAATTTCAGGTATATACGTCTTATCTCTTTAGATCCTTCACAGATTTAGAATTCAGTCTACCTGAGGGCTCTATAACCATGTAAGAAAGCTTTCTTTATCTAGCTTGGTGGCAGCCAAAACAGATTCCATGTCATTAAGGATGTCAGAACTCAAAGCTTCCTGCAGACTTGGCATCAACTCCTCGCCTTCTATGTTCATTCCGTCTCCTTCCAGTGTTCCAAGGTCCACATTTGTCCCAGGAATGGCTTCAAGGTAGTCTGGGAAACGGCTCTGCTGTGAGGGTAGGGTGCTTTGGTTGATAGTATCACCTAGTTGGAACAGAGAGAGATAATGAGGTTCTTTCTGAAAGGCTAACTCAGAGCTGCACCACATGAGCATAGAGAAATGCATAGAAGAAAGAAAAACACTCCTGACTGACCTCCTGAATTGATGCCCAGAGTTTATTTTAAGCCAAACAACACAGAGATTAAAAAACAAAAAACAATGCCAAGTTTACTTTTGCTTCAGCATTCGTTCAGGTATCAATCAATAGCTTGACTGCTTATTACTATGTGCTGAGCACCAAGGAGGGTCATGAAAAAAAAAAAATCCTTTGAAAGATTACGCAGCAAGAGGAGAAAGAGCAAGTACACTACACAGTAGCAGAACTTTACCATCAAAATAAGGTTAAATGTAAAAGTAAATGATATAGACCAGTCTTTCCCTTAAGTACTCTTATGGGAAACACTAAAATAAAATACTCTTTTCCACTCTTGGAGATTCATATTCATAATAACAAAACAAGTCTCCCAGAAATTCTTGAGTAAGTAAATCCTTACAGCTTTGCTTCCAAGTCTCCCAAACTTACATGGCCACAGAAACTTTTTGCACATGACAACATTAACATTCTACAGAACTTCAGTGGAGTTTTTTTCAGAAAAACTAACATAAGCCATTAAGTGCTGTAGGGGTTTGGAGAAGAGAAAAATAAGGGAGTAAGGAAAGGTTTTGCGAAAGAGATGGATTTGAAGCGGCTCCTAAGGATGATTAAGATTTAGATAGGCAGAGAGGAAGCATCAAAACCATGAGTGGAATGAGCTCAGGCAAACAAGACCTGCCAAACACTTTCAGAAAAGAGGCTGACAGTTAAAGAACTAGCTAGCTAGAGAATGGCTTCATTTCCTGGCCAGTTCATGCACTCTGAAAGAGCTGTCAAGTCAGGGTCACCAGGTAAGCCACAGAGGAAATGGTTCCTTAATTACACCTGTGAGACAGGTTACTTCTTAGCTCCTCCAAGACAACAATAAAGTAGGTGAGCCCCACCACCTAGCCTCACCCACTTGACTTCTGAGCCCCATGAAGCCGCAGTTGGACCAAAAGCCCTCAGAGAAAAGAGAGACAGGCACTGAATCACATATAGAAGTCTCTCTCCAAAACCAGTAGGGTCCCCAAGCGCGTAGCCAACTAACTCAATATTGTACATGCTAAAATACGTCATGTCATCAGTTTTATTTTCAAATAGAGCTAATATATTTATGACAATTAAAAACTGAGGAAAGACTTAAATTATAAATCACCATATACAAACAATGCGAGCTCAATCTGAACTGAAGTTGTAGGATGTTCTTCTGAATAACCTCTGTTAACAATGGCTTATTAGACCTGGTGATGATACGACTGTTTCTAACAGAAGGTCACGTTACTAACAGGAATAAAGAACACCAACCTGTATCCATTTCATCAACACTGTTGAGGAAGTCATCTGGAGTCCGGGGCACACTGTAGCTGCTCATGCTTAGTCCACTGTCTGTGCTCTCATCACGAGAGTGATAGGTGCCGCTGCAAAGAACGAGTCAAAGACGGATACAAAAATTTAAAAAATCAATTCAAGGCAAAAAAAAAACACCTACTGAGCACCAACATGATTAGAAGATTAGAGAAAATTCTTGCCCTGCAACGTCTGAAACAAGCACCCTCCTTCAGGGCCCATACACAGCCCATGTGCTATGAAGTGAAGTAGACAAGTTAATCCTAATTGAAGCTGCCGGCTTTAATGGGCCAAGATCTCTCCTTAGCTTCTGGGCTTAGTGGCAGTAGACGAAAAAAAGATAAATGTCCCACTGGTACACCTAGTTAATTTTCCCAGCTGACAGAAAATTATCTGCATAGGTAGTCTCTCTGTAATACCATTTGAATCTGTGGGATCTGCTCACTTCCTTCAAGATCTCAGTTCCCCAGGTGGTACAGCATAGGCAGAGAGGTCAAAACAAAAGCTCCAGGTGGGCGGTGAGACAGGCCTGTACTAGACTTGTGTTAAATTCCTAGCTCTTGTGCAGACAGCGAAAGTTAAGGAAAAAATCAACCCAAAATAAAGAACGAGGATTCCTTCTGGACTGGGCCAAAACAGATGATCACTGACGATAAGATAAAAACTCCTTGCTTTTATTTGGGGTGGTGGTGGAGGGATGGTGGGCCCAAACACCTCTTAAGATAAACACCATATAGCTTAAGTTGAAGGCAAGATTAAAAAACAAAACAAAACTACAAGGCACAGCCCTTGAATAAAATAGGAAAACATGAGCCAAGAAGATTTTTACTTTAGGCTAAATGAAAAGTTTCCCAGATTTACATACAGGTCTGATAAATAACATCATCAGAATATTACTTTCATAAATAGAACACTTTCCTGAGCTAGTAGCATGTAGATATTAGCTGGCTTTGACTGCAAAATTCTTGTGTTCCACTAAGTTCAGAAAATCTTATGGAGATAAGTTTGAAACAAAGCAATTGTTATTCTTAATGGTCTCTGAAGATGAACAGGAACCATAACTTGCCCCAAACTGGACATTTAAGCAGCTGTTCAACTTACACAAAAGTAAAAAAAAAAAAAATTAAAGACAAGCTTTAACAATTGTTCAAGGTTAAATGCTCAGTGCCCCAAATTTGTTCCCTAAGTTACTCAATGCATTTGCCTCATCTCCACCCACCCCACCGCCTTTTTACTGCAATCACTGGTTTGCTCTAATGCTTCTGCCAGATTTTGGTAAGATTCAAAAGCCTCACACAGATCTAAGAAAACACAAACCTGCCTCTGAGACCATTTGTAAACAATGAAGCCATGTCTGAGAAGGCCTCAGGATGTGGTTTGTTTTTATTTTGCCGGCCCTGATCTGAGCCAAGGGCCTGGTCCTAGTCATCACTTTATTCCCACTGCTAAGCATGGGGCACATGTCAGACACACAGAACAGATGAATTTACAGAGTTGTGCAGAGTTCATTCCAAGCATGGGGAAGCACAGGGGCCTTCCTGAGGACAGAGTTTACGGGGCCATTTTCCTGACCTGGAACTGCTCCCTACAGAACCCCATCTCCTGCAGCCCCCATGATTCGATAAACATTCATGGAGTATCTGCTACTATATGACGGGCACTGAACTATCTATACAGAGGTGAGCAACAGCAAAAACACACTGATCATCCGCCGCTTCTGTAATCTTACCAGAAAACACAATCTCAAAGGGAAGCCCAGTTCTAATCTTAAATTTTAAGGAAGAATCTTCACAAGCAACTGTCAGAAGAATATGCAATCTATCCATTTTTCTAAATAGTTTACTTTTATCCCTGGATCAATACATACTGTCAATAAGATGGGTGCTGGAATTCTATTGATTTAAAATTTTTTTTGTGAAAAAAGAAGTTCTGTGCTATGACCTGTCCTAATAAGCCTCAGTTTAATTTTAGAACTATAATCTTGTACAAATCCACCCAATTTTTGGCTCAGCTTTAAACTGTGTGTGTATGTCAGAAGAGTAAATACAAACTTAAATACATTTAAGAAAGGCTTCAAAGCCAAACCTCCCAACTAGGCCAACAGAAGTAATCTTAAGACAGGGCAAATGATGCAAAATTCTATTATACTAAATATCTTTAGCAGGATATGATATTTTGTTTTTTCTTAGAACCATAAAGCTTTCAATTCAACTGGTGAGAATTGAAATGGTAGCACTGTAACTTTCTTAAATCAAAATACCTGGAAATATTTTTAAAACTATGTTTAAAAAATAAATAAATAAAAAGCACAAAAACCAGAAAGTATTTTTTCACATTTTTAAAAACAGAAATATCTTTTACAATCTAAAAGAATGAAACAGTTTTAGTCAAATCTTAATTTTAAATGGTTTCTAGGCAAAGAATATGACCTGTTTCAGCTCGCACTTTTCAACATAGCACTACATATAATAACATTTTCGCAATCTGCCTAAAACCCAAGATTTGTGGTAACTCACTCAAAAGCATCCTTAAGCTACGCTATTTTCAAATACTATCATTAATCTTAATGCATTTCTTGAAAGAAGCACAACCTTACATTTTATCTCCTTGAACTATAGCTCTTAAGAACATAAGGCCTTACAGTGCGGCTGTAGTGAAACCTCTCAGACTGAACACCTATGTGGAAAATTCCTTCCAATGATCTTTACAATGTAGTCCTAAGTAGGTTTTGGACACAGTTCATTTGCTTTCACAGCAAGGCAGTCACATGTTCCTTCATGATTCTGTAATTTTAAGTAACTGTTAGTCAACAGTATAGGCAGAAGCAAACACGTTGTGACTTTGAATAAATATCCCCTCTACAAGTCTGAACAGCTCACTTCCTCTCACAGGAGACGGCTTTTAACCCTCAACTTTTATTGTAGTTGCCATTTAAGGAGAGATTCATTTACAGCTATGGTTTTAGGCCCACACAGATGTTCAAACCAGCCTATTACAAGTACTCAGCAAAATGATCTTAAAGCTGTGATCTTTTGCAGATACCGGCCAGTAGTAACTCTCACCAACCTGTTAAGAAAGGGATCCGAGCTATTGGTCGTCATTGTTCTCAGTTCCTGAGACATCCCCGGAGAAGATACTGGATTTTGAGTCCCACCATCCTGTTCCAATGTTGGTAACTGGCTACGGAGAGCTAATTCCTAGAAAAAACAAACATGAACAAACAGAATCAGTGTACCGATTAACAAATGTATAAAGTTTAAAGAAATAAAATACACATTAAGGTAACTGTGTACATATAAGGTTGAAGTATTAACATCTATTTTAAAGTTAAAACGTTTCCCATCAGAAAAAAAATTTCTTCTAATTTTCGTGTGATTAAAAATTAAATTACATAAATTGAAAGTTTATCTAGTTACATTAACCCAAAAACATAATACTTTACTACTTAGTTTCATTTTGTTATTTTCCTCACTCTAGCAGACACTCCCAAATCCCCCTTGGTGGTAGAATGGTATCTGGCCTTTAATGGGAATTCTTCTTCAAGCATATTTTAACTCACCAACACTCAAATGGTTTTGTGTATTCGGCACCAGTAATAAAAGCAAAGAAGTAGGAAGAACAAACAACATTTGTTGATTGACAAGAAGACACCAATCCCGCCTCCCAGGGTACTGCTTTACACTCTGCTATCAAGTGTCTCACTTTGACTTCATATTTTTCTATCTTGAGCTGGATAGAATATGTTCCACCCTCTAGCAGGGAGAGAGGGTTAAAAAAAAAAAAAAAAAAAAAAAGATATCAGAAGTGAAAACACGAACCTAAAGCCTCTCTACCATAACCTAACATTTAAAAATGGGATAAAATATTAATTTTGAGGGGCACTCAAAAACTTCTCACCAGGATTCTACCTAGAAACCTGAGCAAAGGCTACAACCACTACCCTGATGGTTCCAGGTGGCTTGCCTGATGGTTCCAGGTGGCTTGCCTTAATGGGCTTCCAAACATCCTAGGCTTCTGCCTGTATGCCCAGGACATCCAGGCCAGTTCATCTTACTCTGGCAGACCTATGACACCTTCATACTACTCTGTACTTTCTCTTCCTTTCAGTGTTCCCTTGCCTCCCACGAATTTCCACTGTGCCTCTTGAGTTCTTATAAATATTATCTCTACTAGAGCATCAGCCTCCTCTCCCTCTACTTTTTTGGTGTGACTTGAAATATGGCTTTTTATCACAAAGGTAATTGCCTCCCCTGCAGCCTTCCTGAGCCAAGGCTGCTTACTGAGCCACACTCCCACCACCGTTACCACTGAGTCCAGAGGCAGTGGCTCTGTACTGCCACATCTAGGCTACGATTTCTCTCTCATGCACTTCTTTTTATTTATGTTTATGTCTTCTTCTTATACTATCCTCTAAACCCTGGTTTCTTACCAAGAGAATCATGACAGAATTCAGGGGTCTCTAAACTTGGACGGGGGAAAAAAATTACACCTTTAACTTTCACTAACCTCTAACTGAAATTTAGCATTTTCCTCAAGTATGAATTTAGGCCACAAACACAGAAGTATTCACCGTACCTTTGACTTTTCATCAATACAGACATTTTCATATTATACTGTAGTTGTTGCAAATATCTTGATATATTATTTATGTTCATTACTATTTCAGTATTATGGTAGTTATAAGACACACTATTAAGGAGCCCTGGTAGAGCAAGGTTAAGCACTTGGCTGCTAACCAAAAGGATGGTGGTTCAAACACCCAGCGGATCCATGGGAGAAAAAACCTGGAGATTTGCTCCTATAAAAATTACAGCCTAGGAAACCCTATGGGGGAAGTTCTGCTCTGTCCTACAGGGTCGCTATGAGTCAGAATCGACTCAATAGCACACAACAAGACATATTACTAGATCTTACTTATATATTATTAAGGCATGTAACTATTACAAATTTTTATTTAATATTTTAATAACTGTATTTCAATAAAATTCCTTTTCCTTATAATCCTACACATTTAAAAAAAAAAAATTCTGAGAAGCAATCCATGGGCTCAGCAGATTGCCACAGGAGTTAACTGCTCCTTGTACTCAATTTTCTGACTTCTTAGCTACTCCATCGTGCATAGGGAAGAATTTCAGAACCTGGCTCAGTCTCTTGCCACTCAGAGTATTCTCCATGTCTCTTAACATGCTTCAGTATTAGGATGGGTGACTTATTCAATATGAAAGCTTGTTGGTCTTCTGCATTCCAATGAACTTCATTTCCATCTACTTTAATCACTCTCATAATCACCAAGACCTTGTTATTTAAAACCAAACTACCTCTAAAATCTTAAGTCATGTTTAGGACAAGGATGATAATGTTTCAGTTCATCTCCACTGCATTCATCACCCTGGAGCTGTCAGTTTCCATGCACAAAACCCATGCAATACCCTATCCTTGAAATTCCTGATGTCTTTTAAATTGTAATGGTACTAACCACTTCATCACTGTACTTCAATCATTAACTACCCAGGTCACAACCTGGACCTAGCTGTCTTAGAAATCTCTTACACGCGTTTATCACACTTTCTGACCACATTTTTCCTTCCACCCAGGTCCTCCATGAGCTCACTCTCACAGTACCAGTCCTCTAACCTTGTAGATTCCAGACCCTTCTCTCTTCTTACTCTTCCTAGACTACTGCTCCTTCCTGGCTTTTTTTTTTTTTTCCCTCTCCTTTCCTACCAGCTTGAACTCATGGGTGATCATCTGAAATACACACAAGCACCTTTCAGATTCCTGATGCATGCAAAATTTTATCTCAAACCAGAAAACACCAGCCTGGAATCAATGCTAAAATGTACTTGCTTAATTTCTATATTGACATTGATGAGAAACGCTAAAGAAAAATCATACAACTACCCAGACTGTTATCGTTACAAATTAATGGTCTTTGGCCTTGCTTGACTTCTCTAGGTAATTCTCCATGGAAATCCTATCTCCATCTTAAGACTGTATTAGATAGATGTCATGTCTCTAATACCCTGAGCACAGCTAATAAGATCACAGCATTTATCACATGATATTATTTATTTTCTCTGTGTTCCTTAAGGGTAGTGAATGAATGGACAGACTGTTTTGGACCTTAAAATGGTAACTGCGAATACTCTGAAGAATCTATATTGCTCTTAAAATATGAGAATATATCTAGCAATAAACTTTACTGAATAAATAGGCTATAATTTTCATATTGTTTTTATAACTTTTTATTTTAGCCTTTTTGATAAAGTTCCTACTTTTCCAAGATTTTTATCAGATTAAAGCTAATAGTCATACGCAAATTTGTTTTTGCTACTTTTAATTTTACCACTGTGCTCGTTCAAAGCTGCCAAATTGTTACTTTTTGCTTCCTTTAACAACTGAATTTCTAGTGTCTGTACACACTGCATGCCTATCAGATTTACAAAGAAAGGTAATTTAGAGATATGAATAAAGAAGGTAAATCATTCCAGGTTGCCTAAGGAGATATCCAACACTCTGAAAGGCTATGGAAACACATTTATCATCAAGACTATATTTGAGCCACGACTAAAAGTAATCAACCTAAGGATTCACCTAAATCAAACTTGTAAAGATTCAAGGAATAAAATGCTGCTTTATTCAAGATGTAAGTATTTAGCTCAGTTTTGAAACTTCTAGCTACAGCAAACAGAACAGGGCTGAACAGCTACTCTAAGACACTTTTTAATAGCTTGAGGTATAACTGATGTTCAGTAAATTACACATATTTAAAGTGTACGATCTGATGAGTTTTGACAGGTATATATCCATGAAACCATCACTACCATCAAGATAATCATCCAAAAGTTTTCTCCTGCCCCCAGGCAATTAATCACCTGCTTTCTGTCACTACAGATTAATCTGCATTTTTAAAAATTTTATGTAAATGGAATCATACACTATGTATTCTTTTTCACTTAGCATGATTATTTTGAGATTCACTCATGTTATATCAATAGTTCATTCCTTTTGATTGCTGACTAGTATTCCATTTAGGGATATACTATATTTATTTAGCCATTCACCTTTTGATAAATATTTATTTCCAAATTTTGGCTTTGTATAGACATATGCTTTCCTTTCTCCTGGATGCCCTAAAACTTTAAAACCTAGAAATGTGCTAAACGTTTCCAGACAACAGACTACTTTCACTGTCTTTCTCCTTATTTCATGTGCACAAATGCACTGATTTTATATAGGGGTAAAATACTTTAACTACCAAATACACGTTATCTGAAAGTATTTTTCTTATCTTATAGGAAATGATATTATTATTTAAACAAGAGAGGGAAATATAAAAAGAGCCAATGGCCTATGAGCCCACTGGCTCATGAGTCCATAAAAATCTACAACATAAAGTAGGCAAACTCATGTTTTCCTTTATGAACCACCCTGGAAAGTTCCCTCCAGGCCAGGCTGGGACCATTAGTTTTACTTAGAGTGCAGATAGCTCTGACTCCAAATACTTCCCAGATTAGCTAAGATTTATAAGCTCAATGGGAAAAGCCACCGCATTTTTATATTTTTACAGAAGAAAATGAGCTAAAAATACTTGCTTCATTTAGAAAAACTCAAATACTCTAAAAGAACTATTTAAACTTTGAAATACAAAACAGAAGCATGATTAAGTTTTGGCTGAATTTCCTATAACTTGCTTACTTTCCATTTTTGAAAGTCTGTCAAACTATTTATTTTAACTACCTTTGGGAAAAGAGAAGCTTAAAACACTTGTATTTTTAGCTCAGCATTCTAATTTTAGGCACTGTGTTCAGGATAAATAATCCAAAAACTCCTTAGAGATAGACGTAACTTTCCACATGAACTGTTTCAACTGAAATCAGTTTTTGTAGACAATCCAATTATGTCCCAAGGCTTATTTTCAAAACAGCTGTGCCAAATTTACCCAACTGCAAAATATGTTCATATTCATCCAAAATTTGTTTTGATAAAAATTACTTTATTTCAATGGAACAGGCATATTCTACATAGGTATATATAGGCTTACTTTTAAATGCAGTGAGTGCAACGGAGAAAGAGTTTATATGGAGTACATTTTTTGCTTAATTCAAAGTAACTGCATTTCATACTTCCCTAACGTCTCTAGAAAAAAATCTATACAGCTCTGAACAAACTTTCGATTATTTTACTTTGAAAAGCT